CTCCAGCCCAGCAGCGATGCACCCTCACACTCTCCCAGCTTCCTCACGCTCTCAGGCCCTGGCATCAAGGCTTCCCACACCGCTTCTCACAGGGTAACTGTCAACGTGCTCTTCTCATCTCCGTTATGAGACTGGAAGCCACAAGAGGACAGGCACCACGCCTGAATTTGCACTGTCCCCAATGTCTGGCACAGCTTGGGAGTTCATAGTTAAAACAACGACTGGTGTTGTTCATAGCTGAATGTCTGAGAGAAGGCTGGATTTATTCCTGGCCCTAGTTCCCTCCGGTGGGGCGGGGTGGGGGGCTGGGGGGAACAGGGCTAGGGACCCAACCTTTTATTCATTCTCTCACTTCCTTGTTCATTCAGCAAATAGAGTGCCCAGCGTGTATGCTGCCCACAGGGGTGACGTCCCCCTCAGACACCATCCTACCTTTGCTGACAGTTCAGCCTGCTGTGTAAAGCGCTCAGGGTATGGGGTGGGGGCACGGAGGAGGGGCCTCAGCAAGGCCTTGAGTGCTCTGGACCCAGGAGGGAAGCCCTGGCCACTCGTCCCCAACACCCCCCTGAGAGACACACCAAGCTGGTCCCCCAATTTAGTTTCTCCCTCAGCAAGGCCTTGAGTGCTCTGGACCCAGGAGGGAAGCCCTGGCCACTCGTCCCCAACACCCCCCTGAGAGACACACCAAGCTGGTCCCCCAATTTAGTTTCTCCCTGGCTTTGCCAGTTTGTATAAAATGCAAGAGAGAGAGGCTGTCCCTGAATTCAGTGGACTAAGCAGCGGGTACACACACAGAGCCAGACTCAGGGAACCAACCTGCTCGACGAAGAAGTTTCCAAAGGCGGGTGTACTAAAACCCAGACCTGACACCCTCGCCCCCCCCACCTGTCACACAAGGGGCCCAGACCATTGCAAACCAGACCCCACCCCACCCCCCAGCCCCTGCCAGCACTTTGCCCAGCTCATCTTGCCTCCTCTGTCAGCAGGGTAAACTGCCAGGTGGAGCTGTGAGTCTGCCCCGTGCCACGGGCGGAGGAGATCCTCCATGGAGAACTCAAAGAGGCCAGAAAGTAGAGACCCAAAGGCCTCCATCAACCTCAAAGCAAATCATCTTTTAATTCTGAAACACCAAATATTTAATTTATGCTCTACCTCAAATGTCAAGTCCACCTCCCGGCACATAGCTTTGAAACCACGTAAGGAGGACTAACACTTTCCATATGGTGAAGACATGGGGCCTTTTAATTGTGCCAACTGGTATCATTCAAGGGTAATTCCCCTGGAATCCAGTGCTCAAGCAGCAGCGGGGCCACCTCCGATCTCATCACCCAGCCCTGTGTGTCCCTACGCAGCCACCCGGGCCCACACCCAAATGTCAAAACATACTAGGTGCCCCCTCGTCAAATTACCAAGCTGCCTGGCAGCCACCTTTGGCCCAGAGGCAGCCCGGCCTGCGGGGAGGCTCTGGCCCGTTCCTCCTGGCAGCCCTGCTATAAAAGAACAAAAGGGCCACAGCACAGCGGCGCGGGTCTGCCTTCTGTCCGGCTGTCCAGGCGCACGCGTGACCCCAGCACACGCACCGGCGCACAGCTCTCCTCCGGGCTCTCCTGTCCCGAATCCCTGCCCCGTATCCACTCACCCCACCTGGCAAGCTCTTGTAGTTCACCTGCTATATTTCTCAGACCTGGTATTGCCAAGTGGCTTTCTTCTGTCATTGCCTGCTGCCGTGTCCTGTGTCCAAGTATCTTCCTTCATCTCTTTAAGATGATGATGCTATTTTAATTTCTCATGGTTTGGCGCGTTCTTGTCAGACACAGATTGTTCACTATTCTCCCTTTGTCTGTCACACTCAGGCACCTCACATTTCTCATTACCTCTCCCTAGGAGCTCATATTGTCCGTGTGCCCACAGAAAGACAGAAGTCCGGCCTTAGCGCGTATCCTTTCGTGGAGTCTACAGTGTCAGGGGCAGGGGGACTTCAAACCCACCCATCAGGTCTTCTCAGGAACTCTTTATGAACGGTTATTCTGGAGGGTGACCTGCCACAACCCTGATGTGATGAGAATGTTATTTTACACCCATTTTACAGATGAGCTAATTGAGGCACACAGAGGTGGGTGCACCAACGCAGGTGCACGCTATTGGGCGGGCCTGACCTCATCTCTTTTTGTGGCAGGAAGGCAGCGCTCCTCAAACCCCATACTTGCCTGCAGCGTGAACACACCCTGAACATTTACTCAGCTACTCAGACCCCTCCGGGAGGGAGATGGCAAGCAGGGGCCCCCTTGTTTCTGCCCTTCTCAACGAACCCTGAGCCGGCTCCCGGGAGTCTGCGAAGGCAGCACCTGGGCCGAGCGCCCGGCGGGGCCTCGCCACACCTGATCTCCAGTGTCCTAGCGAGCGCTCGGGAAGGGTGGAAAGTAGAGTCCACACAGCTGGCTGGCCACTCCACAGACCAGCAGGGGTCCTCACGCACAGAGCCCATGGGGCAGTAATAGCAACGTGGGTGAATGCGCCCCAAAGGCAGCCATTCTGGTGGGAGGCCCCATGAAGGAGTGGCGACGGGTCACCCCAAGATGGGGCTCAGGCCTCAGCAGACTTTGAAGCCCACACCTCCTCCATCCTGATGATACAGGCAAGAACCTGCCTGCCCCCTTCTTCGCTGCCTGCGAGCCTGGAAACCCGGCAGGGCTGCAGGCCTGCCCGCTGCTGTCCCACCCCGAGCTCGAGGTTTCCTGAGCCTTGCCCATTCCCTTCGACACACTCAATTTTGATCACTTGTACTTATTTTTTTCTCCCAGTTGACATTCGATGCTCTTGCATGCTAAACAATAACAGCCATGAAAACATGGGTGGGTGTCCTAGTTTTTTTGTCTGTTTGTAAAAGAAATACCTGTCAATGGAAAAATATCCCTCCAGGTACCCCCTGAAGCCTCCTGGCTGGCACCCACAGCTCAGCCCCGAGGTGCACTCTTTCACCCCTTCAGGGTCCACTTGATCCCCCAGCCCAGACATGCCCCTCAGCCGGCCTCAGACTCAGGAGCTGGGCCAGGGTTGGGGGGTGCGGGCATCTGGGTCCCAGGCCACCCAGGCCAACTCTCCAGGAAGCAGAGGTTCCTCCCTCTAATACTGGCATGGCGGGCCCCACCCCCCACACACACATGTCGCAGTGATGCCTCCGGGTCTCACTTCTTCAAAAGCACTTTGAACAAACATGAGCGACCCCTCAGCGTTTCTCAGAGAGAGGGCTCGGGAAGGGGGCCGGCACCAACTCATGCCCTCGTCAGTTGGGGGAAGAAACCAAGCAACCAGATTCCGTGACTTCACCAAAGCCACAGGCTTGCGCTGGGGCCCCCTCCTCACCCGCCCTCATTTCCCCCAATGGCAACTTTTACTGGCTCACATTCCTTTTGCTGGGAACACTACTATTTAATTAAAAACGACAGACTTTTGTTTTCCTCTCCTTCCTTCCTCCTCCCTCCCATCCTCCAGGACTGGATGCCAAGGAGACCCACCAAAAACATGCGGGTAACATTTGCTATGGCTTTGAAGATAAAAGTCAATTGAAGTAAGCCCTCGCTGTATTTCAAGTTTTCCCTAAAGCATGGAGCAAGCTGCCTGGCAGTTAAGGAAAGAAAAAAAGGGGGGGGAACTGCAAATAAATGTCATTCTGCAGGAATACTTTGTAAAAATAAACAGGCTGAAAAAAACCCAAAACTTGATTAATGGAAATCCACTCGGTCGGCCTCTGTCTGAGCGCAAATGCATTTGTTCATATGGCTAAATCGGATCGTTTTCATTGGGCTTTTAAATAAATAAGTAGATCAAACACTGGAAATGGTGGGGAAGAAAGGGAAGTTTGTAGTTGTGTTTTGAAAGGACCCCAACCGCTGTGCCCCCCACCCACCAAGTTCTGACCTTTACTAAGGGGACAGCAGCTCCAGTTGCTCTTCAGGCAACACACGAAGCGAAATGGAACAGAGCGAGCTCCCGGCTAAGTGGCACTGGGGGGCAGGGGGCTCCCCTAGACACACAGGCGCAGGCACAGCCAAGCTGCGCCCAGCCCCGAGCCCACCACCCGACACACACGGCCCCTCCCCCGCCCATGGACAAGACCAAAGAACCAGCCAGACCTGAGACTCAGTCTGTTCCCCTCGAAGTTTAAAAAAAAAAAAGAAAAAAAATTAAATGTCACATCAAAAAGTGGATTCATCCTTTGATCCTTGGCTCACTCAAGTTCCACGCAGACCATCTGAAAGCCCCGTGCAGAGTTCCAGAGCTCCTAGGACATCTGTGAACTCCAGTCCCGGGCCGGGAGCCGGACTCATTCGCTTCCCTGTCACATCGACTGCTCTCCCCACGCACAACTCCAACCTGGGGCCCACTGATGACGGCTCAGAGCAGGGCCTGGGCTATAGCAGACTGTGACTCTCTGCCTGTGGCCAAACGACGTGGTCTACCGGGTCTCAGTGCCCCCCACCGCCCCCATTTCTGCTACCCAGATCGCAGCCTGCCCTACTGGGCTTCCTGGGCAAATCGTCCTGAGGAATGCCCCCAACACTCAGCACACTTGAGGGCGCCACAGGTCATGCGGCCAGTGCAGTCCTGCCCTCCATCCAGACACCCCGAAATGCCATTCCTCTCTCCCCAGCCTACCTCGAAACCCACCTTTGAATGTTGGCCACAGAAGCAAGGCGTGAGTCACAGCAACCCCCAAATCCCTCCCACACAGGCAAGCTCCCCGCTGCCGGACCCGGCACCACTGCCTCACCCAGGGCCTTTCGCCCAGGCAGCTCTGCCCCCAGCTGGACAGGAGACTGGTGTCTGGGCCACCTCTTAGGCTCCCCAGGGCTTGGGGGCGCAGGGGCACACTGGTGGGGCAGGAGGCAGCCGAGAAGAGGGTTCTGGACTTAGAAGCTATGCCAGGAGGCTACTAAAAGTTGAGGTGGGTGGTACAGACACCCATGTCTGAGGGTGGTAGGGAGGAGAGGGGATCATACCCGGGTGCCTCTACCAACGGTGCCAGCCACCCGCAGCTGCCGGGGTCCGGAGCCGCCGCCCGGGCAGCGTTGCCTCCCGATCCACTCCTCGATGCCTTTTCGAGCCCAGGCGGCGCTCACTGCGAAGCTGTCACCTGGGGCAGGGACAACACGAACCCTGAGTCTGGCCCCTAGGTCGGAAGTGACCCTAGAGCCTAGGAGTGGGGGCAGTAGAGGCAGTGGAGGCGGGAGGGGTTGAGGGTCTGGTCAGCAGCTGGGTAAGGGGCAGGGGTAGTCAAGGGGAGGGGGAGGGGGAAGCCCCAAGAGCTGGATACTGAGGGCAGCTGGAGGGGAGCAGCACCAAGTCCACCGTCTGGGGTTCAGAGGAGGGAGACCCAGACCCCAGGACCCTGCTGGAGAGCTTGGAGGCACCAAGGGCTATGCAGTGACCGGAGGAAGGGAAGAGGGGCCCTGGGTGTCAGGAGAGGGGGCACAGCCGGCTCAGGAACCAGGATCGGCTGGGGACCAGAGAGACAGGGGACTGATCCTGAGGGAAGGGCCTGGGAGTCTGAAGAAGGGACAGGGTGGGAGCGGAGGGCGAGGGCCAGACCAGGGAGCTCGCGAGGGCCGGGAAAGGCGGCGGGTGAGGCAGCGGAGGGGCGAGAAGCCGGCGCCGGAGTGGGTTTGTGGGACTGGTGGCCCAAGGAGGGGGCGGGGTGGCCCTAGTAACCAGACCCCGCGCGCTAGGCCACCGCGCCGCTGGCGGTGCCCCCCGGTCCATCCCCCCGTCCGTGCCCCGCGCGCCCCTACCTTCCGGGCTCTCCCTGCGCTTGCACAAGGCGGCTGCAGGCGCATCGCGCGCGGCGGCGGCGGCGGGAGCAGGAAAGAAAGGAGAGGCAGAGAGTTAGCAATCGCGGGGCGAGGGCGGCGGGGACCAAGGGGCCAGCGCGGGCGGGGACACTGACCCGGCTTGGAGTGAAGTTTCCCCATGCTGGGGGCGCGGCGGGCGGGGCG